CGTGCCGCCGCAGCCGCCCCTGCCGCCGCACTCCCCTGCCCGGTGCACAGCTGCACAAACAGAGAGGTTGTCACAAGGCAGCCCGGGGGTGACTGGGAGGAGGCAGAGCCCCTGCCTGCCTATGCTGGCACAGCCACCGAAATATTTTCACGGGACAAGTAACCTTAACCCCTGGCTCACCTCTTGGTAGCCAGGCTGCTCTCAGCTCCGTAAAACCCAAGAACGTGACAAACCCCAAGTGCCATCGACCCTTGGTGAAGGGGAAGGATATTCAGGGCTGAACGCCAGGCTGGGGCTATGGTCACTATTTCCACCGACTTGTGGGCGCCGGCAAGTGAAGATCCTGCAGTGCCCTTGCCACAGAGGCTTACGTGTAACTCTGCTTGCTCCGAGCAGCCAGACCGGTTTAGAAAATGACTGCATGAATGAGCACAACACGCTGTAACAGGAGACCAGTTGCTGGGAGCCAAATGGGATCCCAGAGAATGGGGAGGTAAGGTGATAGTCGCAGGTGGCTGTGGCTCCCAGCACAGCTTATTTAGCCGCTTGTTGTGTGACGTCCACCCATAAGCAGAGAAATGATGTGAGAGGCTTACATGGACACTACATGAGTATCTAAAAAAATAAAATACCTGATATTGTGTTAATGCTATCAGAGTTGGCTGTAATTTCCCTCCTGTTGCACAATTTAAGAATTCCCCTATAAACTTTCTCTTCCTATGCTAGAGGTGGCTTTTGGTGTTCCGGCCTGTGCTCACTGCACCATGGAACGCAGTGGCATTTCCTCCGTGGTCTGTGTCGCGTGCTTTTTCTTCTTTCTCTTTCTCTTCAGCATTTAGGAGATTCCCATAGCCTACATATATATAGAGAAAAATATATCTTGATACAATTGGTTGAAAGACTTTTTTCTTTACTGGAAAAGAGCATCTTGCAGTGTGAGGCAGGCCGAGAGTTACGTTCCTTACAGTTGGCAGAACACCCATCAGTGTCTGCATGTGTGTTTGAAAGAGGGTAGAGGATATGTGTTCACATGTGCACTTCCATACCCTGTGCTAGGACTGCCTGGAATAACCAGAGAACTGATGAATCCATTCTAAAAGCAAGAGAAGCAATTTAATTTCTTTGCATCTTTGCTGACTGATAAAACCGTAGCTTTAATCCCAGTGATTAGCATTGCTTATGGTGATTACAGGATAGTTGTATCAGAGAACACAATAAAAATTGTAGAAAACAACTTTAAAAGGCTCTTGTTGTTTTGATGCATTTCCAGCTTGTAAATAAAAACCACTTTCTTCAACTTTCCTGGAAAGAATTTGTTACTATTATCAGGCTATTAAGATACATTATTTTCTTATGAGGAAAATATTGCCCCAAGCCATACGGAGGTTATTTATGACTAACCACATACAGATCTTTTCAGCGTTTTGTGTATCTGTTACTGATCCATGGTTGAGGTCCATATAAATGCAAATCAAAATAAAGCCTGCAGCCATCAGCGCTGCTCCCCTGTATAGGAAATGCAGCCTTATTCAGTAGATTGGAAATGACAGATGGGCATACCAGACAAAAATCTAGACTTGGTGTGAATTGCTGATACCTTTGCTGAGCTCTCTGGTGATGTGCAGGTGGAGCACAGTGACGAGGTGGGGTGTACCAGGTGGGGCAGAGCACAGCTTGTGTTCATCTGGCCCATAGTGGGTATCCAAAATCAGTGCAATTCATTCGTTCTGTGACAGAAAGAATTAAAACTAAGCAGGCAACACCGGAAGTAATATGCTACTTTGGCTATTTGTGTATTAAGTAGAAAAATACTAAAGCCTGTTCTTTGAAGGGTTTAAAATGTATCAGTCAATTTAAAACCACACCATCCTCATATAGATTTGGCCTATGATGATACTATATCCTTCTGGTTGTAGGAAAATAACCTTTATTATGCTCCATCGTGAAGTTCCTTTTGTTTTCCCTCTGACAAAGCCAAATTGATGCAAGAGCGGCAGAACAGCTTGGGTACTGGCAAATGTATGACACACAGCCCTTAGTCAGCAGAAAACAGGTTGGAAGCGGTGGTACCTCTGCTTCCACAACTATCATGAAGGTATACTTAAAGCAGATCTCGGGAATCCCTAAGGGGAAAAAACCCAACACACCTCAATGCAAAGAAGGTCTCTGTTTAAAATGACTCTCTAACCTTCCTGTTCTCTAAGTCTTAGAAAAGAATTTCCTCGAAGTAGAGAGGAAGAGTCAGAGTAGCAGAAGAGAACTGATGGCTGGCTGGCAGGGCGAGACAGAGAGAGTGGGCTGCCCGGAGGTGGGAGCATCACAGACTCGATCCAGATGAAGAAATAAATGATGACTCTGAGACATAACACAGGGTTTATCATGACAGGAGTGAAAGGGTATAAAGACCTAACCTGTTTATTTGCATGAGAACATAATGGTCCTTGTCATCGACTTGGTATTGAAAGGAATGACTTCCATCTAGAGGATGCAGAAAAAACAGGACATAAATTTCAGTACTAGTAACAGTTTAATGGAAAAAGATTGAAAAAGAGGAGGAATATGGAAATTAGACAGGGATGACATTCTAAGAATTTAAATGTGGCATTTGGCGGCAGCAGTATCATTCATGGAAAAACAAACAATGCTAGTCAACATCAGATGTATTGTTATTTTAAAATAGACTTTATTTAATGACAATAAATATAAAGAAATCTTAATATTCAGAAACTAATAGCAAACATTCTTAGAAAAAATACAAAAAATACATTCTTACATTCTGAATTTTATCAACATACACAGAGTCTAAAACAGTGGCGACGGTCTGTAATTTATGGTGCTTGTTAAGGCAGTGAAATGGTCACTGGTCCAAATTCACCCTGACTTCAACAAATCTGTACAAAGTAAGAGTCTGGCCTACATATAAAGTGTATAAAAGAGTAAAATTGATTCATAGTTTAAAACAAATGTTATTTTTTCCCTTCAAGCAGATCTTTAAATATTATTAAAGTGACCTAGCCTAAAAAAAAAAGGAAAGTTACAAATACTCATATGTTGGCAACAGCCCCCCCAGCATTTTGTTCTGATGCCTGCGCAGAGCTCCCTGCGTACAAGCAGAGCACATTTCAGCAGCTGGAGGTAGAGGCTACAGAAATTGCACAGCTTACGAGATCCAACTATTAAAATGCAATTATTAGGCACTCTGTTGGTTTTCCTCTTCTTTCTCTCTCATTCAGAACTGTGTGCTGTGAATAACACTGTGCATATGGCAAACTGAACTGAATTCCTGATATAATGTCTTCTGAAACAAAATGTTACAGCTACATTAGCAAGGAGCATGGCACTTCAGAAGCAAATCACTAGAGCAAAAAGTTGATGTTGACTAGCTGATGCCCACGCAGTAATCACTGCTCTCTTCAGCCTAGCTCTGGTTTTAGCTCTCTGGACTAAGAGCCTGTCAGAGACCGTTAAGTGCAGATCTAAAACCTGCCTTCTGGTTCAGTTTAAACCAAGAGGATTCCAGTCCATGTGCCCTGAGACCAGTCTGTCATGGGAAGCACCGCCCAGAAAGTGGGGACAAGTGGAAGACTAGTTTCAAAAGCACACTCTTCATCTGAACAAAAATGGTAATGTAGAAACACAACCAAAGCTGATTAGGATTTTATTATGGGAGGAGCCCAAGTCATAGATATACACGCTTTACTGATGTAGCTTTTTTTAAAAAAATCATTATTTTAAAGGCAGGAATATAAACTCTCGACGACACTGAGCGCCAACTGCCCCTTTAGGAAACGCTGCCAACTGATGTAAAAAGGGGCAACTGAGAGAGGCCACAGGAACCAAACAAGGAGCAGAAGACCAGGCCCTCCTGAAAATCAGCCTTAAGCTCTGCCACTGCTCACGGTGTGACCCCAGGCAAGGCACTTAATTCCTTTGTTTCCTAGTCTCTTTACCTCTCAAAGAGGGTAATAAATGCTTCCTTAAGACCAAATAATTACCTGAAATGGTCCATTTTGTGCTGCATATTTTTTTCCTTTATCACAGGATGCCTCCTTGCCTGCCCCAGCCCTCCAACACCGCACCTGAAAGGGTGTTTAAGGCACATTGGCACTGTCATCACTGATGGGGGTATGAAAACGGCATCTCAGCTGAACACAACTGCGGATGGGGAAGAGCCGGTTCAAAGCTAAAATCAAAAGCTCCAAGTCTGCAAGGAGCTGACTGGCCTTTCTAACCAAACTCATTTTGCAAAGGGAAGTCCTGAGTACTTCACTAAAATTGTTCCATGAAACAGTTTTTTGGACAAAAATTTTTTTAAACAGAAGTTTGGTATACTATGCCCAGTGACAGGACCAGAGGCAATGCACACAAACTGAAACACAGGAGGTTCCCTCTGAACATCAAGGAACATTTTTTCACTGTGAGGGTGACTGAGCACTGGCACAGGTTGCCCAGGGAGGTTGTGGAGTCTCCTTCCTTGGAGATATTGAAAAGCCATCTGGACATGGTCCTGGGTAGCCTCCTCTAGGTGGCCCTGCTTGAGCAGGGGGGTTGGACCAAATGACCTCCAGAGGTCCTTTCCAACCCCAATCATCCTGTGATCTGGGGAAAAGGTCAAACCAGTGTTGAGGGGATATATTTTGATGAGAAATTCTGTCTTGCTTAGAAGCTTCTGAGCGTTTGTCCATCTGCCCAGTTTATATTTGCTTCCTGGTAAATTAAAGACTTGTCATGATTCTGATGAAACCAAAACAAATGGCAAAGGGCAGAATTCCCTGTGCAAAGAAGCACTGGTCCCATCGCTGCTCTGGTTGACTGTCCTTTATTGTTACAGTCTATCTTGTTTTTCTGCCCTGCGTCTTTTTTTGTCTTCAGGTGGTGTCTACACAAAGTTTTCTGGGCATTATAATAAGTAAGCTTCAGTCCTTCAGTGTCAGAAATGCAAGTGGTTCTCTGGAACCTGTGAGTTTCTTTCTTTCATCTTTCTTTGATTTTTGAACCAAGCTTTCCTCTCACGTTCTTCCATGCCATCATGCAAAGTCTTGCTGAGTGAAAGCTTGTGTATCATGACTGCTGAAAGGACTCCCCTCATGTGCTACCTCTTCTGGTTTAAATGTTGCTGTTTCAAAGGAGAGGCTTGAGGTACACAGCAGTCAGTATTTGGAAGTTTTGCTACAAAATTCAGATGCTTGATTCCTTCTGAGTATTAATGGGATAAAATACATCTTATAAATGCTACTTAGTTTCTGCAAATGAACTTAATATGTAAAAAGCTATATGAATAATCTGCCTAAAAATTCTGCATATTTATTACATTTAAGAAGAGTACAAAATTACAAATGCAACAGTAATCACCTGGTTTACAGAATACAGGCACACTTTTGCTTTTTTAACAAGATTTTGGTTTTCAGAATTTGTAGAAATTGGTCCACTAAAACTGTTCAAAGAGAAAGCAAGTTAATAATCTGGAATACCACTGCTGCAGAAACAAAGCGGAGCTCTACATACATGCTTAATCTGTAATTCCCTAACTCCCAGTTTGCAACCAGAGCCAAAATAGCCAAGCATCTCTGCAGCCTAATTTGAAGATGACTGATGGCTCTAGCACATGCATCCACACCTCTAACATCCTGCTTAGTTATTTAAAGCTTCATAACATGGTTAAGGCATATTAAATGGTTTATTCCAATCTCCAGTTTCAATAGATTCATGGTCTTGTCAGAATTCACTTTATCATGCAATGTTGTATCACAACAGGTCCAGCTGCACATTCTTCCTATGTCAAAATCTATCAGGGAAGAGCATGGTGCCTCTGGTGTGGGAGAAATGCAAAAGACAGCCCTCCACAAATATTGATTTAGTACGTGAAAAGACTTTTAACACTCATTACTGTTACAGGTAGGAGACCTTCAAGGCTACGGTCATTCAGAGCAGAATGGGCAAGTGAACTAATGAAAGTACATTGACTGGGGAAAGATAAAATGCCTGAGTTTTCTACTCACTCGGAGTGCTGTAAAGTCAGTTTGTATGCATTGATTTCAAAGGCAATTCTCCTGTTTACACAGAGATTGATGAACAGGATGGGCTTACAGTCCTGCTGCTTCTTGTGATCCAAGTCCATGATTAATTGAAATATCTTGTTATCCATTTAAGTCTCAGTATGCATAGCTAATTCAGTGCAGCACACAACAGCGCTTAGTATGTCAATTCCAATGGCTTAATAACATGATTTTGAATTGTATTTTCCTTCTCTTTCCATCATGTTTTGGCTTTTCCTCTTCATTTGATAGTTGGGGTTTGCATTAGCAAGTAATCAAAACTCCTTCAGAAGACATGATGGTATTCTTACAATAAATCATTCTTGTTCTTAAGGTTTTAATCAAGTCAAACAAAAGATCTAATAGCTGATGCCCAAATAAAGTGGAAAGCACTCTATGTATTTGAGAATTAATCTGCATCGTCTTAAGATGATAAATAATTTTTATCTTCACATGTTAAAAAAATACGTCCTGCTAAAGCTGTTTAAAAAACTGGTAACTCTTATCTGAGTCGCACTGGTTGCATTTCTACAAGGGAACCAGGTAAATGAGCAGGTAACAGTTGCAAGAAACAATGTTTAGTAAAGGGAATTAATCCAAAGTGTTTGATTAGCTATTGGTAATATCTGGACAGGTATCAGTTGGCTAAATACTGTTATTCCATATAAAAAAGTACTTATTCAGCTTTAGGTCCAAAAGTGCTGTCTACTCCTCTGATAATTTTGTCGGCTATTTTCCCCATGGTTTTTTTCACAACTTTGAGATCGTTCTCATGCAAGAGTTTCTGTGTTAGGTACTTCTCTCGTTTGACCTTGCTCTTGGTCTTTTGTGATACATCCGGAATTACATATGAAATAATAAACTTCACAAAGTATATGACATGCTGGGGAAGGTGAAAATGAAAAAATGTCAGTCAGGCTGAACAGGACATTATTATTATTATAAATGAAATGTCACATTATCTCTTAAGACTCTGAGCTGATTCTGTACCAGTATCTGTCACAGTGGAACAGTATTTTAAAAAGCAGACATGACTAATGAATAGAATAATTGTCTGATAAACAAGAATTTCTGATTTTCTAATCCTGATTTTAACACAGACTTCTCTGCCTGCTTTGGGGGACCCTGGTACCCAGTGCTTCCGCCCTGCATGGAAATATTGATTACAGTTTCTTTTAAAATTGTTTTAGGTTTGTTCAAATGACTCTGGGGCAATGGACTTTGCTCTGCTCTGGGAACTCTGATCTAACCAGTTGCATGTTTCTGATGACTTCAGTAGTCCCTGGATCAGGCCCTAAGTACATTTTATAATGAAATAATACCTAATATTCCTCTCCCTTCATCTCGGACTGACTCCCATCTTTCGTAAGCCCAGATTGTAGCTGCAGAGGAAGGAGCAATTGCTTTTTGATGCTCATCTAGAGACTCACCTTTTGCAGTGAGTGTCTTTATACACTTCACTCTGCTAGTGCACATGTATTAACGTATATGTATTCATGAGCCTGTGTGCAAACTTCCTCTAAGCGTATGTAAAAATATTTTTGGTGTAACTGTCCCTTCTATTTCTGATACTAAAAATCATTTTACGGTTCTTGGGAAAAGAAACTGCAAACACGTGGGGCAATCCTTCACTGTTGTTGGGACTTCAGAGACTTTTTCTAATGGTGCTACACTTTATTTACATCTCCCAAGCTCTTGCCCATGCTAGCACACATCACCAGCTCTGATAGCTGTGCCTGGACAGAACATCTTTGAAAGATTTTCTGCATAGAAGGAAAAGAAGTTTAAATAAGTCATGCTCAAAACCCCGTACACTTACTTACCTCCATGACAATGATGAAAGCCAGCTTGGCTGCAATGACATGCCAGTAGTATATGTTATGCTCATATTGGTGCTGGTGACCGGGAGGGTAGCGGAGATCCCGGTATCTGAAAGCAACGTAGGAAAGTCAGGAACTACTCTCAGGCATCTCTGCAGTAAGGCACTGTGGCCAGAGGATGGAGCAAGACATGTCCCTGCTTAATGCATCCCGGAACAGTTAGCTGCACGTAACTACAGTAATGGGTAAACTCTGTATCTGCAGAACAAGCTAGATTTGGCTGAAATGTCCTTTTTTTTTGCCACTGTATTAAGAATTACTTATAAAAATGTCAAGTGCTTTTTTCTGAAGACTATCCATTATGAGAAAAACAAAATAAAGTAAGACTTTTCTGAGTAGCCCAAACTTATGGGTGAATACTTCCACTCAGTTCTGCCATTCAAAATATGCTGGCTTTTACTGTGTTTTGACATTTCTTACTGGATATCATTAACTGAATTAGATGATTTAGATATTAAAAAATATATTTATTCTTGTCATTGGAAAAGAATGGTTATTTGACACTTGCCTGCATGTTGTTTGGTTCCCAAACCACGGGGAAAATGGCTTGCTTGCATTCTTGAAGTCTGATATATTGAAGACAGAAAGCGTACTGTTTATATACCCTTTCATAGTGTGACTGCTGTGACTCCCATAAGGAGGGACGGAAAAGGACCAGTAATAAACCAGACGAGGAATCATGTCAGATGTAAAAGCAATTATCATAGCCTGCATTTCAGAAAAAGAAGACAAAAAAGCAGAGCAGCGTTTAAGAAATATGCCTTAACATGTATGGCTTTGCCACATACTTAGTATCACAAAAGTTACAGTGTGAGCTAAAAATAGAAAATATGTGCTTTTCCAGTCAGTGGTTCCCTCTGTAAACGAGCACGTAGTCACTCACGGGCATAAAACAATCTCTTTCTGGAATGTGCACTCTGTATGGTTTTTAAATTACGCTAGCTCTGCTGGATGCCTTAAAAAAGTTATACTATAATACACTTTTTTTCCTCATGAGCATGCAGTGGAGGTCAGCAGCCAAACTCACCTTAAAGTACTCTAAGGTAACCTTCAGCAAAAGTGCTTGCTATCAGATGTACTTATGAGATGCTTAAAGAAATCCTGCCTGATGAAACTCATGGAAACAACGGAAGAGTCCTTCAATAATAGAAAATTAAATTTCACCAGGAAGCCTCAGGTTTGAGTAAAAGAATTAAATAAATTATATATATAGCTGATCAGTCTCTGACCCTAGAAACATCCACTCTTTCTGAGGTGCTAGCCAGCCCAAATTCATCTTGGCAGTTGTTGCCTCATAAGTTTCAGTGTCAGTGCATGTGGAAACTGCTCTTGATGCCAAGATAATTTTTTTAGTAGCAGCTGCATAGTGCTGTTTTACATATGACGTGACCATTTGTTTTTATCTTGCTCCCAAGAGAGTCCCTGTCCTACTCAGTCTGCTAGTTGCAAACTGGGTAGGAAATTGGATCCGTGGGTTTGTTGTGGGAAGTCTTTTCTAAACCCATGAACTTCCCAAAACATCCTATTCTGGAGGACAGGTTAACTATGTTTAATCCAATCTCCTCCTCTGCTATTGCAAATTCAAAAGGTTTCCCTGTGAGGAAGACTTTCCACTGGCAAGATCTGCAGCTGAGTGCCTAGCAAGAGGCTGCCCGGCCAACTCATGACGACAGGCGTCTCTGGTGCCCAGCACCTAGGAAGGAGTGATGAGCTGCACTCCAGGGCTGAAAGAGAAGTCTTTTGTCCCACAGCAGGAGAAAAAAACACTTGAAAACATGGATGCAAAGAACCAGGGCAGAGACATGGAGGAGAAAGGTGTGAAGTAGGGATCTAATGGGATCAGAGGGAGAGACGTGTAGGCAGAGATACATAAAAGGGGCAGAAAAAAGCTGCAGTAAAGGTCCAGGACAGAGGAAGGGGCAAAGTTAAGCAGCAATGGGTATCAGAGGAGCATAAGAGCTAGTTAATATCTATATTTTATTCCCCTTCATACCAGCCTGTGATTCACGTAGTCTGTATTTCCTTATTTTCATGAGATGGGGCAAAAATTGTCCACCTTCATGCAGCACTCCCAGCAAGAGAGCCCCAACCTGAGGAGGTATTTGTAACAGTTATAAAAAAAGGGAAAGGGAGAGGGGAGAAAGGGTGAAAAAAAATGCGGACACCTCTTCTACAGTTCCTCAAACAACACTTTGGTGGCAGTGCTAGCGAAAGCAACCACTGTCCCTCCTGCCTCTGCCCCTAGCAGTCACTCGTGCATTCATGCAGCTGTGCAGCAGATCAGATCATGGCCCTGATCTGGTGGGGAATCCCAGCCGGATCCACTCCCTGATCTGGTTCATCATGTGTTTGTCAAAGTGCTGGTGCCAGCACAACACAAGAGACAGCAACAAGGGGAAAAGACAGGGAAGGGAAAGGGCAAGGAGCTGAAAGGGGTGCAAGACTCACCCCACCTCAAGTAGCACCACTGCCAAATGTTGAACACTATCCTCATGTCTTACCTTTTGAGTTGGCTTAATTTGAAGTACCTGAGAAGCTAAACTCTAGTTAAGACAAAAGTTGCAGAAAGATTGAGACTGTGGTCCAAAATCTATATTTGGTTCTCCAGAATATTGTTATAATTGAGTTCAGTTGAGAGAAGGTTAATTCGGTTGATGAGAAGGAAAAGGGAGGCATCCTAGGACTAAAATAAACTTGTTTAAAATTTCCAAGGGTAAGATTTTTTTTTTTGTACTGTACTCTGGCTTAAATGAAATGTAGTTCGCATGCACTTTTAAAAACTGTTTTTAAGCATTACATGCCAGTGTGCAATGAAGTGAAAATTATGTGTTGTTTATATTTACACGCAAAGTGGGTGTTTTTGGCTGACAAGAAATATATATTACTGTGTCTTGCAGTTGCAGGGAGAAGACCTCACACCTAAATTACTCTGTTTTTAACTGAAGTACAAGCACAGAAAGTTTTAGTTAAATGTAATTTCTTTCTGTTCATTAGCTCATCCAGTCAGACCGTAAATGAACTAATAGCAACTGAACAGTAAGGCAAAAAAAATCCCTTCTCCCTGTGGACCAAATGAGTTTGATGCTGCTTCTGTGTATCATTTAGAAAGATGCTGGAATACGGTATTTACACAACTTAGTATTTGCTCTTACTGAATTTTTTTGCAAGGCCCCAGGTCTCTCATCATCCTAAATCTGAACCCTGTCCCACTCTCCTCCCTCCCTCGGAATGATCTCCAGATGTGCTCCAGAGAGCTGCAAGGACAGAAAAACGAAAGCTAATCCTACGGCATCCTCTCAAAGGAAAAACTTTTTTCCTCCTGAATTATGGGCTGCATTTCAGAGTATTGCACTGGAGAACTACAAACAAATAGCACATTCTCTACTACCCAAGCTTTACTGCACACAGCTTTGCATTTATACCATAACTAATTAAAATCAGTCTTCACATCAACAACAGATGCTTTGGTATCATGCAACAGCAAGTCCAGTGCCTGAGCGGCAAGTTGCAAAACTGATAGTTTTGTGCAAAAGTTGCTTGCAAGCTACTAGCAGGTGTTCCAAAGGTAATGCACGAAGGAGAAGATGATACGCTACCCAAGTCTAATGAAGTCACACAGAAGAGAAGAAGCAGTTTCTGTGTACTAAGGAAAAATCAAGGAAGGGATGGTAAAGGAAAGACTGATGGCCTGTACTAGATACTGGATGTGAAACAAGAAAAAAACATACTTAAAGGAAGAAAACAGCTTCTAGCATTTGATCTAGTATATGGCTTTATAGCCCACACGTCATTAGCAAGAACTACTGATCATCTCTTTGAGGTCCCTACAACACCTGCAGCAGGGCCTTTTGAACATGACAGCCTCTGGTGCTGTGCCCCTTGCATGCTAATGGCCCCACCGATGTCAGCGGCAAATGCACTACATTCACACTGACATCAACTCTATTTAACGCGAGACCTCCAAAAAGGGTGACTCTAAAAGACACGTGCCTGCAGCTAACAGTCACATGAACATCGGGATCGAGTGCCTGTCAAGGAGGACAGAGAATAAAACCAAGCTGTCAATATACTTTTGTACATTGAGAAATCCATGTTTTCAGCGATGCCTTGAGGAGTATAGCACATAAGGACGAATTTGGAGTGAAAAAAGGTTGCAAAGCTCTGATGAGCCTCAGGTGGGTTGTGGATGGGTAGTGATAGACACCTAAAACTGTTGCTGGGTCATTTTTCTGCAGAATCTAGAGCAGGGCATGAATACATTCCTAACAGAAGCCTACATGTCTCAGTCACCGTAAGGTCACCAAAGCCACTTTAACTCTGCCCTGAATATCGTAAAGACTATGACTAAGATACTCATAACAATATTTTAAAGTAATCTTAAAATGTATATCCAACTTTTTATTTCATAGTGGTATTACCAGACCCAGCTGGATTGACTAGGAAAGACAGTTAGCTTGTCCAATAGCATAACATATTTGTTTTTCTTCCAGGGCACCAGAAACTCCTTTGCCTTTTATTTTATAAGTTTTTTAGCAGCATGGTTCAAAAAAGGATATTGATGCACCAATAATGTTACCTCTACTTTACTATAGCTATGCTTCACCTGGGAATTTGCACTATCTATCTCCATAATTTGCTGGAAGAGTTATCACTAACATTTTTTTTACACAGGCACTAAAACAAAAGAGCCCCAAAGTATCTCTGGTGCCACCTGACATTTCTAACAATCTGAACACGTGTTACCCAAGTTGCATCATTTTTGTTTTAAATTTTAACACCAGATTTACTAGTAGGCCTTGGATGTTTCACATGCCTATGGAACAGCTGGATTTATGTTTGGCCTGCCTCAGCAGAGCAGTGCGAAACAGCTGGAGCATATGCTCTGGCTTGTTGTCTGTCTCCCAGATTCTCTTCTTGAAGATTTTCCATCTTCAAGTTCTCTTTTTTATTCTGACATTTCTCTGTGCTTAATTCTCTGCCTTTATGTGCTCCTGAGTCTCCTCTCTACATCCTAGCTATGTTTACCATACCTGTTGAATTCCTATAGTGCGAAATAAAGTTCTGAAAAACAATAATGGCCATTTTGGGAGACCTTCAAATACCTGAAAGTACATCTGGTAGCTGAGGCTGACATATAAAATTTTCCTAATCACTGAAATCCACCCTGGACTCCTATTTCTATATGGTACCACCCCAAACCCCAAAAATAACAAAAACAAGCTACTGAGAAAATGATAACTCATTAGGCAGTCAGGTCATGGAAACTCATCTTCCCATTCTTTGAAAATAGCCTCATCCTTCCAGGGGCAAAACGAAGACTTTTAAAAGTGGGGGAAAAAAAAGAGAGCAATATGCAGGGACGCTCATCTGGGTGTGGGAAGAGAAGGTGCACGTACCTGTCCCATTATTTCTGAAAAGCAGAACCCCTGGGGTTGAGACCCCAGACCAGCCAAGCACCTAATGACTATAGAAGGTGCCTGAGATACAGAAAAATAAGTTCATGCCCTTACTTAAATTTGAACTGCTCTTTTACTTGAAATAAGTCCCCTAACTATCCGTTAGTATCTATGGTAGAGTGTTCAGCTCCGTCTCCCTCCTCTCACCCAACGTCCACCATTCTCCAAACAGGCAGAGCCTCCTGTGAAAGCTTGGGCTGCGATGAACTCTTGTCTTCAGACTCAACTGCTTTCTCCAGAAACGCCTACTGAACGCAATAAGGTACTGCTACTGCAAGGACGAGGTCCTTGAGGAAGTGACTACCTTTAAGCGTGTCAGAAGGAATCCCTGATCTCGGCGATAACAGTAGAAAATGGTGACCTTGTTGAAAAAGGCTATTAACCATGAACAGTCTGTGGTGTTACTGACCCTGCAGAGGAAACCAGTGGTCACTGCTCTTTTGAGAAAGGCCAGCAGTGGAAATTTTTTGAAGGATAATAGATATTAGATACTGTTTAAGAATAAGCGATCAAATAATTCACAATGGTAAAGTCCAATGGATTATTTTTCTCCCCACAATGCAGTCGATGTATAAGATCTTGGTGAATTAATGATACGGGAAATTTGAAAGGTCTGAATTTCATTGTCAGGAGAATCAGAAATTAATCAGAAAAAAAAGTTTTTCTAAGTATTTTAAAGAAACTCTTTTAAAATTAATTTAAAAACCAACTGAAAAACAAATTTGCAAATTCTTAGAAAATTCACTCCAATCTCAAAAGGTAAGTCCTGCAATTTCTAGCACACATTGTGTTTTTAAGTACACAAGAAAGAAGCTGAATTTCTGTTTTAAGTGCAAAATTGCTTAAAGCCAAATTCAAATATGAAGGCATGACCATAAGAATTGTAAGAATTAGAAACAGCAATCAATTATAACTTAGCTAAGCTGCAACCTAGGTTTTTCAAAATTCATGCATTTAGCTGTAGACTGTGAAAAGATCTCTATACTACGCGCTATAATTTTAGGAAAGATGAGCTATAGTCTTCATACGTAACGGATTTTTCTGAAGACTCTAGCAACTCTAAATAAAATTTCTTTTCTTTAGTTATAATACTTTAGACAGTAGCCATATTCTGTTCCCAAAACATCTGGAAAGTAACTGAGAGCCTGTTTCTGAGGTCTTACGGGACTGATGCTTGCAATTCATTTAGGATCATTTAAGTGCTACATTGCCACACGTGGCATTCCCACGTTTGGATGTAACAACACCTGCAGTGAAGGCATTTTACCTTTTGCAGTTGTTGGCCCAGTACTTACATTGGTGACCACTGCCAGAATGGCTATGCCTTGCATGATGGGCTGCCAGGCGCCAATGTCTTGTGCCTTCTGTGGAACCATGCGCCTGAACTGGGTCGTCAGCTTCCACGCATCCAACCGGATTTCCAACATGTTGTTAATAAGAGCCAGAAGAGGAGCCAGGGGGAATGATGCCACAAACAGGGTGACAAAGCCAAACTGTATAACTGTCAAAGGGAGAGGTTACATACATTGATGAGGCTTTCACTTACTGGAGATAAGCAAATATGAGCACGTATACTTTATATACTCCAACTGTGGGAGAGAGACAAGAAAGAGTAGCCAAGTTCCTAGCAAATCTTATGTATGAGAAGATAGGAGCACAACAGTACTGGAAAAACCTGCTAGGTGGAGGGACAGGAAAATGTTGCAAGTCACAACACACCAGAGGAACTATTCAGGGTATTCAAACATCCATTTCTTTCTTGTGCCTTCATCGTGAAGACTTGGAAATCTAATGACTATCTGTCTCAGTGCTGTGCTGGGAAGCCCAAACTAACAATCATGTTATTGGTGTCTGGGTGCTGCCACAAGTACGCTGGCAATGCTGTGACAGAATGGATGGTGGCAACAAACGGGACATCTACCAGTTCCCAAGAGACCCGTGACAAGTACTGGTGACTGCAGATCCCTGGCAGAGCAGTCTGACACAGGGCTCTGCTGTACAACACCAGAACATGGCAGTGGTCTACCTTCTGGATGCATTTCTGAGAGGATGGGGCAAAGAAGCAGCACTTCTCCTCCTTGTACAATCATGTGCTGTTTCCTAGCTATAAATTGGATTGAGGCGTAGCTGCTTAATAAAAGTTTGCAAAACTATCTATAACGGCTCATCAAAACTTGTCTTGGAAAACATTCATGTCGACTCTGTCTATAAACTTATTAAGCATTGCTTGTATGAAGGTTTTCTTTAAAGCATGTTTGTATCCAGCAGTGAGAGCGGATCCGAACTAAACTGCCACTTACCCATTTCAAGATACTCATAAAACAGTCCAAGTTTTCCAGTGGGCTGCAGGTGGTAGTCCTGTTCCCAGCGTGGAACAACTTTT